CTTGTAAGCTTATTTTACTTTGGATACATCCATAGCTGAGTTGGTTTCTGGGTTATGTCATCTTGTGTGTCAATGGTCAGTTGTCGTTTGCTATTATTGGTTCTTTGTTCAGAGGAGTCCCTTTAGTATCTCTTGTAAGGTTGGTCTGGTTTTAACAAGTTCCCTTTGTTTCTGCTTATCTGGAAATCCCTGATTTCACCATTACATTTGAGGGACAATTTTGCTGGGTATATAATTCTTGGTTGGAAATTTTTGTCTTTCAGGGTTTTATATATACCGTCCTATTGCCTTCTTGCTTGCATGGTTTCTGCTGAGAAATCAGAGCTTATTCTTATTGGTTGTCCTTTGTAAGTAACTTCATTTTTCCTGTGCTGCTTTCAGGATTGTCTTTGGTTTTGATGAATTTGATAATGGTATGTCTTGGTGATTTCCTTTTGGGTCTATCCTGTTTGGGGTTCGTTGGACTTCCCGAATGGATATATTCTCATCTTTCATCGTATCAGGAACTTAGGTCTGTTCCAACAAATCTTGGAAAATTTTCTCAGTGGTTTTGTCTCTTCTGTTCTGGGATTCCAATGACACGTAGATTTTTCCTTTTGATTGATGGTATCGCACATGAACCTTAAGCTTACTTCATTTTGTTATAACCTTTTTTCTGATTGATTCCTTTCCAAAGAAGTATTCAGGTATTTGTCTTCAGTCTCATTTATTCTCTCTTCCATCGCATCAATTCTACTTCTTTGACTTTTCAATGTGTTACCTTTTTCTGAAAATTTAGTATTAATCTTCTGGATTTCTATCTGTAGATTTTGAATCATTTCTAATTTTTCATTTATTTTGTCATTTTGTTCTTGTATTTTCCTCTGAAATTGTTCTTAAGGTTTTGTCTGTGTTTTTCTTAATTCTGTCAGTGTTTTCCTTGATCTGTCTCTCAATCCTTTGAAGATACATAAATATAATTCTTTTGAATCCCTTATCAGTGAGTTCCAATGCTGTGTTCTAGGTCTGTGTCCTGCTGCCTTGTTTCTACCACTTTATCTTGCTTCTTCGTGTGGACTGTGGTCTGTTGTCTGTGAGACATTGTGACGTTGTTGTATTTAGATCTCTGTTAACTGTTTGTGAAGAGCAGCTAAGGGTGAGTCAGGCTTTTCTTGGTGGTGGTTTATTGTTGGTCAGTTGGTGGAGAAGTGATGGCTTTCAGTAAGTGAAGCTGCAGGAGGTGTGGGTGTAGTTGTCTTATGGGCACTGTTGCTGTCTCCCGTTCATTTAGACAAAAATAACAGTTGAATAATCATCAAAAAAGTAAAAGCAAGTGGACAAAAAAAAACCCTATATAATCACAAAGGAACAATAACCAAGGGTGGGGGGAACCCTGCAATCTCTGGGGAGAGAGCAGTAGGAGAAAAAAAAGTAGAGTAGGAGAATAATGAAGAAAAAAATGGGCAAAATGCAAAAAAGAAAAAGAAGGAATAGGGTTACCCATGAGAAAATAAAAAATGGGAACCAGCAACAGGGAAGAGAAAAAAAGCGGAAAACTAGAACCTAGGAAGGGAAGAATAAAAAATAATAATAAAAAGGACAGAAAAATAATTTTAAAACAGACAAAAAGCAAAAAAAAAAAAAAAAAAAATCTGCGTTGGGCAGGGCACCCAGGCTGGCAGCTCTGTATGTTTCCTTTTTTGGTGTTTTCATGCAAATTCTTCTACTAGTTGGAGTTTAGTCCATCCCTGTATCCTTCCCTTCAAAGCTCAGGTCTCCAAGATCTTCTCTGTGGTAATTGGTTCCCCTTTTCTTTGTTGAAGAGGGTCTCTGTAGTCTGTTTGCCTATTCCACCATCTTCCTCATGTATTTAACACTTTACGTTCTGCAAGTATCTTTAATTTCCAACTTAAGTAAAGACAAGAGGATACTCAGGTGCTTTTATAGTCAATCCATTGTATATTGTTTGAGTTGAGGTATATTGAAGAAAATCTGATTTCACACAGATAGTTGGGAGTTTTTCATAGTCTTTTCAAGTAATGTGGATATTCTTTGATACTACAACCACTGCTGTGGAGTTGGATCCAAATCATAGCGACCCCTCCTTTGGGTTTCCTATGCAGTATCACTATGGAAGTATATTGCCCAACCTTCCTTCTGAGGAGTGGCTGGTGGGTTTGAACTGACAGCCTCTGGTTAGCAGTCAAATGCCTTAGGTACTACACCACCAGAGAGGTCCTGCTTTGATGCTACAGAGACTCAAAACGTGGTAGTTTGTTAAAAGATTAGGTGCAGTACGGAATCTGAAGCCTGATCAGTGAACCTTTTTGTTCTGTTAACATCCATTGTTGTAACACTGAATCTCTTACCATGAATGATTTTGTAACATGCACTGATCATTTAGGAAATGTTGGTTCACTAAATCATGCATCTCTTCCAAATGTTGACACATCTCATATATAAGAATATATGAATATAAGAAAATAAAAAATACAAGAAAAAAAATCACATTTGTTAATATCACCACCAATTCCATGAGAAGAGTCTTTAAATACTGGGAAGCTATCAAGTGCATTCAGTGGCAATACAGGTTTTCAAACCTCTGATTTTTACTTGAATGCTTTATTTTTATCATTGGCAGTACTTTCAGTTGTTGCTTCAATAAAAGGCTTTTTCAGTTATTTTTGAGGAAAACAAATAGTCAAGTCCAAATACCATAGTTGCTAGTTCTTTTGAGTAAAAATCCTATGCCATGAAGAACATAGCTAATTGACCTTCCAACTCAATCGCTTTTGCTCATTACAACTGCCATACTTAAGTGTGCAGAAGTGTTTTATGTCATGCTTCCTCTATTAGTGTCACAGGACTGTTGTAACAAAATGCCACAAGCTTGGCTTATTAGAAACTTAATGTCTCGTAGTTCTGGAGGCTACAAATCCAAATCATTGTGTCAACCAGGCCAGTTTCTCCAGAGACTCTAGATCAATCCTTTCTTCTCTCAGCTCTGAAAGTCCCAGGTCTTTCTTGGTTTGTAGCTACAGCAAAACTCCAAGGTCACATGGCCATCATCCTTGTCTATTTTATAAGGACCCCACTCAGAATGGATTAAAACCTACCCTACTGCAGAATGACCTCATGTTAATGGGTAACATCTTCAAAAGCCCCATTTCCAAACAAAACCACATTCACAGCTAGGATTTCAGCATCTTTTGGGGGGGACACAATTCAATCCTAACACTTTCTAGAAGTGTTCTCAAGGGTCAGGGTTTTTTAAATGTTTATTGGTTCAATAAAGGTCCTTTGTGAGACTGGCAGTATTTTTACTGTGTGTGGCAGTGAAGACTATGTTTCCTGATAGTTTCCTGCTACTGCCTTCATACATGCCAGGGCACCAACAGTCCTGGACTCCCAGGGATCTGCACACCACATTTTGAGGACTACTGCTTTAGGTGTTGTCCCCCAGGTGTCTTGAAAAATATAAAGTCATGATTAATAGTATACAAATAAAGTGAAGGCTTGGAAGATAGTTCTATAGTTCTATAGTTTGGAAATAACTGTCAGGAGACAGACTGAAGAAGTGATTGCCTCCGGCAATGTTTCTCAACCCTCTTCTGAGAGACTGCGTTAAGTAGGAAATTAACTCGACAGCCACTAAGAATAGGGAATTTTATTATACATCTTTTTCCTAATTGCCCCACTAAACCTATATATTACAGATAGGTCCTTTAGAGGCCCACAATCCATTGTATTTTCAGAATTTGCCCTGACCAGGAACCAATTTTCATCCCTATTGAGAATGTATGTCCTGTGGCCAGTAACTCCCTTTTAGGGTTCACGTTCTCTATTTTTTCAGCATTCCTCTATTGCCATCACAGCATGATGGCTCAGAAAGTAGATGAGTTTCTAAGGAAAAGCAGGGATGTTCCTTAGGCTAAACAAACCTGCATTAGAAAAAGGAAAAATTTTTTTTTTTTTCATATTGACTATCTTACATGCAAAGCTTTACCAAGAAATTAGGAAAGCAGGCCCTATTTCAAAAAAGGATTCACCATGGAATTCTTTAAACTGTGAGTGCCCTTAAATATAAAATAGGACTCAGGACTTGGATTGTTATATAAAACTTAACATTTCAGACAATTTCCTACATAAACATGTACCCTCCCACATATATATTCACCCACTAAAGTTTAACACTGTATTTTCTTCCTGTGCCTTACAGCAAGCAAAATCTGTGGTGTAACAACAAAGGTACTGATCTTTAGCTCTTTAGTGAGAGCCCGTATCAGAGGAGGAAGAAAGAGTAAAATCTGTATATTACACTCCACACTTCTAGCAAAGTCCAAATGGAGGAGAGCTAAGTTAAATCAAAGCTAAAGATGATCCTCTAGGTCCTCTTAGAAGCTGGAAAAATTTGGGACCATTTTCTGGGGAGCTACGATTCCATCCCAAGTAGAAATGGCTCAGAGCCCTTCAGGTCGTTGGTACTTCCAGAAGGCCACCTCTCCATCATCACTGCAGGAAGCCAGGAGTCCTGGCTCCTTGGGGTTCCAGGCCACACAGTTGACATCCTGGGAATGTGCCTGAGGCAAATGGGCTGTCAGAGAGAAGGTGGGCTGCTGTGGGTCGGAACTGGGGTTCTCCTCAAACACTCGGATGGCATCATCCCCACAAGCAGTAGCGAGGGCCCCTGTCAGCTGACACCTGGGAGGAACATGCGCATCAGTAGATATGCAGGTGGCAAATTAGCAAAGAGTTGTTTTACCATCCTGGGGCTGTTCTCTTGCCAAACTTCAGACCTCCCTAAAAATCTCTTATCAAAGAGCTTCCCTAATCTAATACATAGCACAAACATCACCCCTTAAGTTTTCAAGTGCTTCCTTCTAATTTTGCCCCAATAAACTAATAACCAAAAAAACCACATACAATTCTGAATTGTGCTTTTCTCCCTAGGCATAGGAGCTCTGGTAGCATAGTGGCTAAGGCACCTGACTGCTAACCAGAAGGCTGGCGGTTCAAACCCACCAGCCAATCCTCGGAAGGAAGGTTGGGCAATCCTACTTCTGTAGTGATACTGCCTCGGAAACCCAAGGAGGGGTCGCTATGAGTCGGTCCGACTCGACGGCACATAACAACAACAACAACTCCCTAGGCATATGTAGTTTTCTATGTCATGAAGTATTCTTTACTGGTTTTTTTAGCAGTTATATATAATGGGCCACTGAATTTTACCATGATATTTAAGTCTGCTTTTGTTGGCTATATAGCTTACTTCCAACTATATGATAATGCAAAAACTTGGACACACATCAATTCCTATCATTATTTAGGGTTATTTCCTAGGGGTAGATTCTCAGAGCCAGAATTGCTCTCTGACCTACTCTTAGGTAAATAGTGTGGCTTTTCTAGACACCATAAGGGTAGAGTCAATGTTACCAAGCTATAAAATTTATTACTACTAAACATTTCTGGATGGCATGGTGCTATGTGAACTCCAAGGGCTGGTGCTGACCTTACACAGCCTGGGATCTTAACAGAGGTAGAGAGCTGGGCCTTTAAGTCTGTTCCTTGTGCCTGTGAATCCCAAGCCAGTCAGCTTAAACCCAGCATGAAAAATAGTTGGGCCTGATGTGAAAAAATGAAGGTGGTTGCTTTCAAATGTTATTCACTCCCAAGTGGGCAGAGGGCGGCACAGGGTCTTTATGTCTCTAAAATCCAAGGGTGGGGAGTTGGAGATGAGGTCTCACCAAGCGACATCATAAATGGTCCTGGAGTGGAAGCCAGACAAGGTGCAGATACATTTCCAGCTGGGGTCAGTGCCACTGCATGCCACCCCTGCAGGACAAACTTCTCTTGAGCCTACAATGTGTCAGTATCCTGGACACTTCAGGGGAGTAACTGCCTTATTGTAGAAGAGATCCTAACTCCCTCCCTTACCCCTACAATCAGTTATGATTCCTTGGCTCCATCCCACTGTCCCCATTTTCACTGATCTGCCTCACACACTGAGACCAGACTGGTCTTTCTAAAGCAGAATTCTGAAAAGGACTTGTTCATTAAAAAGCCTTCTGCCGTAGACTAAATCTGACTAATCAGTATGCTTTTTAAAGCCACCCACCAGCTTGCCCAACCCATGTTATTCCTCCCCAAACTCTTTACACCCTATGCTCTATCTGAACATACCACCATTCCTGTCAAAAGTCATACATACCTCCAGTGCCTTAGCTCATGCTGTCTCTGTTTTCACCTAGAATTCCTCGCCCCTTCTCCTCCTGTTAAATTCCCACACATCCTTTCCAAGTTTGGATGAAATGGCCCTCTTCCACAAGACTCCCTGATTCTCCTATCACTTTATCTGGAGTCCTCTTGTGGTACCTCTCACTTTCTACCCCAGTCTGCTATAATTCACGTATGTTGTCTTAGCCCCTTAACAGACTGTAACTTCTTGAGAGATGAGTCTCCATTAGCTCTCCTACTGGATCCTCACCTTGCTCGTTGCCTGGTAGATACTGGCGCCAGATGCGCACGGTACGGTCGTCACTGCAAGACGCCAGGCGCTGACCACTGGGATCAAAGGCCAAGCTCCACACGGTGGATTCATGACCCTCAAGGGTGGCACAGCATACCCAGTCATCCTCTTCCTCCCGGTAGAGCTTCACTGTGTCGTCGTAGCTGGCAGAGGCCAAAAGCTGGGTGGAGGTGGGATGTGTGTGTATGTGTGTGTGCAAATATAGCACTTGTTTGTAGCTAAGGAAGTGCCTGCAGTTTCAATACCAGGATGGACAGCCCCAGGGATCTATTTTTACAAAGGGACTAAGGTTTGTAGGTTACAGGTAAAGATGCCTATAAGAGCAAGGATAGGGCTGAAGAGTAGAGGGAGGCTGGGGACAATTCTCGATACCAGAATTCTTTCCCACCAGACACACCTTGCCTGATGCCTACCTCCTGGCTTGGGTGCCAAATGACATGCTTGACATCTTGTGTATGGGAGTTGAGGACACTGACACATTCATATTCATCCTCTTCATCAACTGTAGGAAGAAAAAAGCAGAGCACTCAAGAACCAAACTATCAGAGACACAAATGGGGATGTCTGCCAGCTGGCTTCCAACTCTACTTGGAGGGACCGGTACTCACCTTCCCAGACCCATACACTTTTATCTCGGCTGCAAGTGGCCAGAAGGTTGCCAGATGGGGCCCAGGCCACTGACTTAACCTCATTTTCATGGCCCTCAAGAGTAGTTACACACTACGAAAAGGGAAGAGAGACAATAGCAGCAAAGACCCCTGGGGTCCTTCTGGGCACCGCACAATTGGCAGGTTAGCTCAGGTTCTTGCACGTACCCTGAGGAGCAAACAGGCAGCAATCCTAGTCCCATCCCACCTTGTTACCTCAAAGTCATCCTGGTTCTTTTTCCAAATGCAAGTAGTAGCATCAAAGCTGGCAGAGGCCAGGTAATTCCCACAGGGAGACCAGGCTACCTTCCGGACAGTACGCTGGTGGCCTTCAGAAAGGACAGACTTGCAGATCCAGCTGTCACCTAAGGTCAGAGAACAGGCCAAGCCCTGGAACTGAAGCACTATCAATAATGCCCTATGATGCTGAAGGTTAGTATGGAACCAAGCCTGGATATTTAACTTGATTTTAGAGACATTAGCTGACTCTATTTCCCCTGAACGCATCTTTCTGAAAAACAAAGCTGAAAGCTGAGAACTCATCTTCATGATTTAAATTGTCAATGGCTTCCAAATGCGCTCTGAATAAAAGATAAACGTCACCATCGCGACCCTGATTATTCTTAGGGTGTCCTGCTACCATTCTTCTATGCATGTTTTCTTGTTTCAGCAACTTTCAGAATTCGGTCAACAGTTCCAGACTGTCTACTCACGTTTTTGCTTCTAACTGAAGATTCCTTTGCCTGAAACACTCAACTCGAAGGGCGCCTCCCCTTTTTCTCCTCTGGCCCGTACTCAGGTTTAGCGTCTGTCAAGCAGGCTGCACATTCCCCGGGCCCGGAACCTACACTATGCGCACGCAGAGCTCCAGGAGTAAAGGGTCGCACAGCCATACCATGTCTTACCCTCTGTGCCCCAGATGCGGATTCTACGGTCGCCCCCACACGAGGCCAGCAGGGTCCCCGCCGGGTTCCAGGCCAGGTACCAGCAGCGGGAGTCCGGGTGCGCCGGGACACGGCCCAGCAGCACCAGCGAATCTTTCATGACGTCCTGGCGCGGGTGAGGAGAAGGTAGGTAGAAGTGGGCAGAATCAGTCACGCCAAGAGCAAGTCCTACCTCTCAAGTTCCCACAATACCAACCCTAAGCTTCCCGGGTCGCAGGGTCCAGACGCTTCCGCCCGACGGCCCGAGTAGTGCTGGGAACTGAAGTGCCTGTCGCTGCACGCTTCCTTCTGGAAGTTGTAGTCCTCGCCCCCCTAACAGAAAGCATCGTGAAACTGTCATGAACTACCAGTCCCGTGAGGCCCTGCGCAGGGAGCTGGCGGCTCGCCCGGAGTGTGACGTGTGCGGGGCACCGGGCGGTAAGCTGGAGGAGGTGGGGGCGGAGAAGGAAGAAGCCGGAAGTGGATCGGCCCCGGGTCGGCCCCGGTGTTGCGGGATTAGGGCCTGGGATTGCTTGGCCCCGGGCAGTTGAGGAGCCCGTGACGGGCCGGAGCGGCGCCATCTCGGCCCCGAGGACTGCTGACCGGTGAGGAACAGGGGTTGGCGTGGGGAGGATCCTTTCTGAGCTCAGGTCGCACCCCAGAGCGCATTTCTCGAATCCCCAGTTCCCTATTCCTAGTCCCTGATCTCTGCGGCCCAGCCAGGTCCTCCGCCTCTCAGAACCCTCTGGCCAAAAACCCGAGTTCAGGTCTCCTTAGCCCTAGCAGCCAAGATTATTGGTACCTCAGCCCCTCCTCTTCTGTCTGTCCACACCCCACCCGGCCCGCGGCCCTCATCCGGTCCTCGTCCCCCACCCCGGCAGCCCTATTTCAGGGACCCCTGTCCCCGCCCCCAAATCCCTGCAGCCTTCCAGTCTTTGCTCTGCTGGCGGCTCCACCCCCCATCCTCCAGTGTCAGCTTTGACAGTCCTGCGTCGGTCTCACCTGCCGCGAATCCAGCGCTTTGCTTTTCTCCCCGTGACAGGCAAGCTTTGCGCGCCCCGCGGAGGTCGGCGGCAACTAGTAGAGACTGCGGAGCAGCGGCAGGCGGCCCCGGGTATGTACGCCCCCGGAGGCGCAGGGCTGCCCGGCGGGCGCCGGCGGAGGAGCCCAGGAGGCAGCGCTCTGCCCAAGCAGCCAGAGCGTAGCCTGGCCTCGGCCCTCCCAGGCGCTCTGTCCATCACGGCACTGTGCACTGCCCTCGCCGAGCCCGCCTGGCTGCACATCCACGGCGGCACCTGTTCCCGCCAGGAGCTGGGGGTCTCCGACGTTCTGGGCTACGTGCATCCGGACCTTCTGAAAGGTGAGGGCGCTGCATGCCCGCCCTCTTCCTCCTGGGCTACCGGGCTTTCTCAGCGGGAGGCAGAATGTCGTAAGGGCTGGAGCTAAGATATCAGGGACAGGCACTTGGTTGAAGGAAGCGGCTTGATCTTTCCTGTCTGGTGTTCATGCCCGCCAGGTGGCTCTGTTTGGGGTCCGGCCTTTGATTAATTCTGATGTTATTCAGCTAAGCACTATGCTAATCTGGAGTGCTGCTATTTTAGGATTCTGCCAGAGGAAGGGCGCTGTATATGGAGATAAGGATGCTAGGCATCCCAATTAGCTGTACCCTTCTAAGGAACCTGTAGGTTACAAAAAGTCTTCTTTGCAGTAGGCTGATTGATGGAGAGCTTTTAATAAGACTGGTAGCATAGTGCCTAAGGCACTTGACTGCTAACCAGAAGACTGGCTGTTCAAACTCATCAGCCACTCCTCGGAAGGAAGGTTGGGCAATCTACTTCCATAGTGATACTGCCTCGGAAACCCAAGGAGGGGTCGCTATGAGTCGGGTCCAACTCGATGGCAAACAACAAACATTTTAAAGATACTTTAATGTTCTAAAGTAATTGGGTTTTTATTAGAGAAAAAGGGAGTCTGTGGTGTTTTATGGTAACTGGTAGTCAGTTCCATTGCCGTCCTCACTAAAATACTTGGAATTTGGCTCTTGGACCCATTACAAGTTTGCCTGAGGTAAAGTTGCTTTGTTCATCATCATGCCTCATGGGAAGGTAGGCTGAGGAAAAAGGTAAAGGGGCTGTTTTCCCTCCTGGATACAGAGGAAGATCAAGGCCTACATCCTGCCCAGTTCTGTCGCCATAATGAGAGAAAGATTGTGTGATATGAGGACCTGACTGCCCTGCCTAGCTGTAATGCTAAAAATGGTCAGTGCCCCAAATAGTCCTTAGTAACAGCACAGGACCATCATCCTCAAGGTCTTTTCAACCATTCTTGAAGGTCTTCATATTTTCTCACTGTGTCACTCCCTAGATACATACCAGATACCTACCATGCCATGTATCACTTAGCCCCTCCTGATATCTATCTTCCTGTTGCTTCTTTAAAGATGCAGAGACTGGGATTTGTTGAAAAGGCCTAAGTTCCCCTCTGCCTTGGATCACATGCTCTTCTGCAGGTCTAGGCTGAAAAGCACTATCCTTGTGTCCTAGTGATGTCTTTCTCCGAGTGTTCTTTTACTGTTTTGAATCTCTTATGTTTGTGAGGATTTAGGATGATTTTGTAGTAAATAAGATGGGGCTTCTCGTTTGCTTCCAGATTTTACTATGGTGGTAGTAGCCTTTGCTGAGTTGGCTCATTAAGACCAAAGTTAAACACATGATGGAGGCTTTGTGACATGAAGCTTTTTCTTTGGAATGTAGCTAATTGCACAAAGCTCATCAAGTCTGAGTTAAGTCTGGATGGTTTTTCTGAAGTACATCCCCCTTCACTTGCTTTCTTTGAAGCACAGCTTCATTCAGGCTTTTGCAGTTGATTCCACCCATGGTGTTTCAAGAATTTAGGTTTACCTACAAACGAAGAGAAAGTTCACAATGTTCCTTCCTTTACAGATCATCCCTAGGGCGGGGGGGGGGAGCTTATAAAATTCATGTGATGGAGGGAGAGGCAATCCGATCTCATATCCTTATTGCAGAGGCTCAGGGAGCTGTGAAGTAATCTCCCCAAGGCCACACAGCTAGTGATGGCATAGCTGACGTCGGTTGAGTCCAGTATGAACCAAAATGGTGCTGTCTTATTTATGTTTTTTGATCCATTGTCTTGTTTCATCTGTCATGAGGAACAATCTCATGGATATTTCACTTTGGTGTGTACCATTGTCAGTGGCATGTTAAAAAATAAAAATTCCTTGTGCAGGTTCTCCTTTGTTCACATGTGTATTTACTCTTTCTAGGGAATTATTCAGGCTAATTTTTGGTTTTTTGTAGAGCTTTTTGCCTTAACCTTTACATTATGGTTGCTGACGTGTTTAGGAATCTTACCAGTGGACAGGTTCTGTCTTTGGCCATCCCTTGGTCATTGCTATCTAGAAACTCTGCATGCTCATTAATGGGAGAGTTGGCAGTGGTGCCACAAGAGCTATCACAAAAGAAGGTAAGGAGTGAGGAGGCCTCTGATTGCTTCTCCTTTCTCTTTTCTTGTATCTGTTGGTTTTTTTGGTACCCAGTGGGCCTTTGGACGGGTTCCTGGGTAGAACAGAATGGTTTTCACTTGACTACTAACGTAAAGGTTGGCAGTTCAAACCCACTCACTGGTGCCACAGAAGAAAGGCCTGGAAATCTGCTTCCATAAAAATTACAGCCAGAAAAATCCTATAGAGCAATTGCACGCTGTAACATGGGATTACTATGAGTTGGAATAGACTCGACAGCAGGGGGTTTGTTTTTTTTCTGAGGGTTGGGCCTTTGGTCATATGGTATCTGTGCAGACTCTCAGGGCCTAACATATTTTCTGGCATATATGCTGGTATACACCCCATCTCAGGAGGAAGAAGGGCTGTGGAACCTAGATATAATGCATATAGATGTTTTCAGGGGGAAAACAGACCCTATGAGGTAACACTAGTAGGGAGGGCTGGCAGGCTCTGGAGCAGTGCCATACATTTCTTAGCCCCATGCTTGAGTGCTAGGCATTGGGCTAAGCACACTCCATGCTTGGTTTTAGTTTATCCTAACCTGTGCTCTGGTAGCATAGTGGCTAAGGCACTTGACTGCTAACCAGAAGGCTGGCGGTTCAAACCCACCAGCCACTACTCGGAAGGAAGGTTGGGCAATCCTACTTCCGTAGTGATACTGCCTCAGAAACCCAAGGAGGGGTCACTATGAGTCAGGTGTGACTCGACGGTACACAACAACAACAACAACAGTCTGTGCTTAGGAGGTGCTGTCATCAACCCACTTCACAAAGGACTCCGGCTCAAGGAGATTAGGTAACTTTCTCAAGGACACATAACTTATAGGAATGGCATCAGACTCTAAAGTCCAAACTCTTTCCACCATACCTTAGGCCTCGAAGAGGGCTCCAAGTTTCTTTTTCATTCAGTCAGAGCTGCCCAAGGCTTATTTCCTCATTTTAGTTGAGTTTCTAACACAAGTTCAGCCAAAACTCTGCTTTTTGTCCCTCAACATCTCAGTGTTTGGGCTCAAGTTGGTCATCCTGAGGCAAAGCCACTTATCCCCCAGTTATCATTCACAGAGTCTTGAAATGCAGGCCAGCTCAAAGGATTCCATCCTGCATTCTTCTGTTCCCCTGGGCCCAGGTCTGTAGATATCCCCAGACCTCTAGTGGGGAGCCACAGTAATCATTCCTTCTGAGCACATCCCTTTCCGCCTCTCAAGTATGGCCAACACAGGGCAGCACAGACAGCAGCCTCAGGAAGCATCTTTGGAGAATGAGGAAATTTGGGATTTGAAGTCAAGTGAGTCACAATTGACAGCTAGCCACTGGAAGATCAGGTGCCTTCCAGGGAGGGCCCACGTACCTGAGGGTAGTGACTGGTACAGCTGGTACTTCCAGGTGCAGGAGGACCTGTCATGAGGGGCAGCTTATCTAGGAACATTGGTAACTGTGGTGATGTCCCATCCAGGCACTAGAGGGCCATGTTGGAGTCCTGTGTAGAAGGCTGTCTGGAACCTAAAAAAGTCCCAATGGGAGAGATTAAGTAAGTGAGACCAATGACTGCTGAGAGGCACTGGGGCATGTGGACATTCTTGGCATTTATCAGAAATTGTCTCTAGCTTGCAGGGACTCCAATAAATAGAGAGGGAGAGGAAATGAGATGGATGGAAGAAGGGAACTGGTCAGAAGCCACTTTAACCTTTCTGGCTGTAGCCTGTTTGGTTCAGGTAGGGGTTAGAGTGATGGGCAGGTAGACAGGAAGAGCTTGGCCTTCAAAACAAATCCTGCCCAGTGGTGACTCATCAGTGACCTTGGGCAAAGTCAGTTCCTTGGGATCCTATTACAACAGCAGCTGCCTTCTTCCCTGATGACTAGAGAGGATGGTCAAGCACTGTTTACCAAAATAAACCAGCCAGGACACAATGGGAGGGTAAGATGTGTTCCTATATGTTACCAGAATGTTGCAGACTACACCACTGGTTTGAATTTAAAACCTAGACCTGTCCCATGTACCATTTCTCTCCCACAAATAAGATAATAAATACATAATGTTTGGATTTTTTTTTTTTTTTCCTTTCCTCTCTCTAGTAATTTCCTCAAGGGAGCAGGTGTTCGTTGTCCCCCATGCCATACTGCTGTCTAGGAGGGGAGGAGAGGAAGAGATATTGAGATGCTGAGGGCAGGAGAGGCTCTGAGCTGGGTTCTAAGTGAGTCTGGGGCAACATGGCCTGTCCCTCCTATGTGCTCTGAGATCTTCCCATAATGCGATGTAGGGCAAACTCCTGGGGCATCTACTAGCATCGCTCCAGGGGAAGTTTACATTTGACTTCCTCACTCAACCTGATGGTTTACTCACAGTGTTGGAGTGGAGAAAGGCAAATCGTTTGAAACAAAATCTGTTTGGGTCTTGTGTCAAGAAACATTTAACTAAAACCTGTGTACCATATTATCATCCTAGGGCTAAGCACACTTCATGCCTGGTTTTAGTTTATCCTAACCAATATCTGTGCTTAGGAGGTACTGTTATCACCTAGTGGTGCAGATGTTTAGCCTGGCTTTAGGGGGGCTTCTCTGGCCCACATTGACAGACATGTGTGGCTAAGGAAGTCTCGGTGTAAGGACAGGTATGCTAGAAATGACACTGCTGCAGCCCACTCTTAACGGCTGCATAGAAGTAGGTGGGCAGTGACATTACAGGGGACTACTTCACTGCATGGTGTCAGTTGCCTCTCCTAGCACTCACTATGGTAGATGGAAGATGAGGGAACAGAGACCACGATAAGTTAAGTGACTTGCTCTGGGTAATGTGTAGCTTGTCAGGTCTAGGGTTTGAGGCCTAGTGCCATTCTGGAC